CCCCCCTTATCAGTTGGGGTGGGGGTGTAGGTAAGGGAAAGGTGAGGAGGGGGTTCAGGACAACTTGAAACAGCAGACAACCAGAAACAGCAAAACAGCAGACATCTAGAAACAGCAAAACAGCAGGCAACTAGAAACAACAAAACAGCAGACAACTAGAAACAGCAGACAACTAGAAACAGCAGACAACTAGAACCAGCAAAACAGCAGGCAACTAGAAACAGCAAAACAGCAGACAGCTAGAAACAACAAAACAGCAGGCAACTAGAAACAGCAAAACAGTAGACAACTAGAAACAGCAAAACAGCAGACAACTAGAAACAGCAAAACAGCAGACAGCTAGAAACAACAAAACAGCAGGCAACTAGAAACAGCAAAACAGCAGACAACTAGAAACAGCAGACAACTAGAAACAGCAAAACAGCAGACAACTAGAAACAGCAAAACAGCAGACAGCTAGAAACAACAAAACAGCAGGCAACTAGAAACAACAAAACAGCAGACAACTAGAAACAACAAAACAGCAGGCAACTAGAAACAGCAAAACAGCAGACAGCTAGAAACAGCAAAACAACAGACAACTAGAAACAGCAAAACAACAGACAACTAGAAACAGCAGACAACTAGAACCAGCAAAACAGCAGGCAACTAGAAACAACAAAACAGCAGACAACTAGAAACAGCAAAACAGCAGACAACTTGAAACGGTAGACAACTAGAAAGATTTGTCTGCTTTTCCTGACAACAGAAAACAGTATACAGGTAGCAGCAGACAACAGCAAACAGCAGACAAGAGGACACGGCAGACCACTGGAAATACAAATGAAATACCTAAAATTACAAGCAATCAGTCTGGGAGACCGAGCAGTCGAGACGCGCTTGTAAAGCAACCTCCGAGACGTACGTCCATTGGAGGCGCCAGCGGCTGCAATAGCTGAGAGGCGGGGCTGAGGAGCTAAGATCCCCCCCCCCTTCACCATGTATACAGGAAACTACTCACGTACGCGCGCGCACACACACGCGCACACGCGCACACACACACACACACACACACACACACACACACACACACACACACACACACACACACACACACACACACACGCACACACACAGAACCAGCATTCCGCCCAATATTACATTCAACATAACAAATCGAATAAACTGGTTGTAACCGGGCTAAGAGAGCCCCAGCTGGTGTTATACTGACCTCTAACTGGTGGTGGGGAGAGGGGAGAGAGGGAGAGGGGAAGGGGAGAGGTGAAGGGAAAGGTAAGAAGAGTGAGGAGATAAAAGTTGGAAGTAGGAGAGCTGAGGGTACTAAACGGAAATACAGAGAATGAGGTGGGGAAGAGAGAGACAGGTGGAGGGAGGGGGGGACAGATGGTGTAAAATGGACAGCAAGGGGAGGGAAAAGAAGCAGAAGAGATCGAGGGAGGGCAGGAGAGGGGAGGAGACGAAGAACTAATGAACAGAGGAAGCAAAGGAAGAACAAAATAGGAAGAACGGAAGAAGCGGAATGAAAGGAAGAGGTGCAGGACGGAACGGGAGTGCAGAATGAGAGAGGAGAAGGGAAAGGACTAGAGACTGAAGGTCGCGGCGGCCACTGAAAAAAAATATTGTAGTCAGATCAAGATATTTTCCACTTTTTTCCTTTAGACAAGAAAACACAGAAGACACCTTCTTAACTCTTGAAGAAATCTGTGTTCTCAACTCTTGTTCGCCAGCACGGGACTCCCACGGCACAGCGGCTGGAGCCTCTCACTCCCTGGAAACCTGTCGTCATCCCGCCAAAACTATCCTCCCGCCAAAACTATCCTCCCGCCAAAACTATCCTCCCGCCAAAACTATCCTCCCGCCAAAACTATCCTCCCGCCAAAACTATCCTCCCGCCAAAACTATCCTCCCGCCAAAACTATCCTCCCGCCAAAACTATCCTCCCGCCAAAACTATCCTCCCGCCAAAACTATCCTCCCGCCAAAACTATCCTCCCGCCAAAACTATCCTCCCGCCAAAACCACCATACCTTTCGGTAACCTTGCGGTGATTACAAGGATCAACGTCCCCGCGGCCCGGTCTCTGAACCGGCCTGCTCGTTGCTGGACTGGTCAACCAGGCTGTTGAACGCGGCTGCTCACAGCCTGATGTATGAGTCACAGTATGGTTGATTAGGTATCCTTTGAAGGTGCTTATCAAGTTCTCTCTTGAACACTGTGAGGGGTCGGCCAGTTATGTCCCTTATGTGTAGTGGAAGCGTGTTGAACAGTCTCGGGCCTCTGATGTTGATAGTTCTCTCTTGAACACTGTGAGAGGTCGGCCAGTTATGTCCCTTATGTGTAGTGGAAGCGTGTTGAACAGTCTCGGGCCTCTGATGGTGATAGTTCTCTCTTGAACACTGTGAGGGGTCGGCCAGTTATGTCCCTTATGTGTAGTGGAAGCATGTTGAACAGTCTCGGGTCTCTGATGTTGATTGTTCTCTCTCAGAGTAACTGTTGCACCTTTGTTTTACAACGGGAGTATTTTGCACATCCTGCCATGCCTTCTGGTCTCATATGATGTTATTTCTGTGTGCAGGTTTGGGACCAATTCCTCTACTATTTTCCACGTGTAAATTATTATGTATCTCTCCCGCCTGCGCTCAAGAGAATAAGGATTTAGGCATTTTAGTCGGTCCCAATAGTTTAGATGTTTTATTGAGTGGATTCAAAAAGTAAAGGATCTTTTATACGCGTCCTTGGCCAAATGTTTCCAGTTTAGAATGGGGCTGTTAGTGTGCAGTAATATTGGCGCCAAATATACTCTTAAAACAACCATCTCACGAAACCATCAACCAAAACCCCCACATCCCGCCAAATTCCTCACGCCTCGCCAAAAAAATCCTCACCCCCGCCAAAATCCTTAACCCCCCCGTCAACTTCAATGCTAGTAAGCCCATCCAGGAACTTGGGAAAGCGTAAATACCGAGGTTTGTGAGAGCAGTCGCCGCTGCATCAAAATACTTTAGCTAATACACTTACACCTTAGTAGCCCGTGTAAATATCCATGTAAATACATATACCTCCCTCCCATATGTATAATTCCCAATGTATACCTCCCTCATGTGTTATTTCCTATGTATACCTCCCTTATGTATCATTCCCCATGTACACATCCAGCTCCTCGGCTCTCGATACTACGATTCCCGTTTTTTTTTCTATTATAAATTGCGGTAATTGCATGAATATAGAATTTCACAGGCAATTAACAAACTAAAATTGCATAAATTTGATGACGTTGACCCATCTATCTTGAGGTTATCTTGAGATGATTTCGGGGCTTAGCGTCCTCGCGGCCCGGTCCTCGACCAGGAGGCGCTTGGTCGAGGAGGTCTCATGACCAAAAACAACTTTTGTTGTGTATTTCTTTAACGCGAAAATAAAAAGTATTAGTAAATTATATTAGTACAAGTAAACGTATTAAACGTACATTAAAATAGTAAAATAATATTAAAATTGTAAAGTAAAATTATAATAATAAAACTTCTTCAAGGAAAAAATTCTGACTCCCTTAAGAAGTGCCGGTCCACTCAGGCTATAGTGAATACACGCGGTCCTGCTCCAATATCAGTCTTCCTGAACCCTCTCCAGGGATGACCCAGGCACAGACTAATGCAACACTGAAACAACACCTCCACGGGGGGACTGGAACCGCGATGGATGGTACCGAGCCATGAGGCACTGGAAGAGGGCGCCACTTGTCACAAAATATAATAAATCAGGAATGATTCAACTGGAAAGTTATACTGGGCAAAATTGTTTTGGAAAAGATATAGTAGACAGCTCGCCTCTGATGCGAGCCGGGTGCGATTCCTGGACAGGGAGGATTGACTGGGCACCAGTCCTCAACTATTCGCCCTAGATCACCCAGCAGTAACTAGGGGACGTGGTTGTAAACCAATTTGCCGGATCATGTTCAGGGGAAGGGAGAGCTCTAATCCTTCTAACAGTAGTCAGAAGCAGTCTGACGCTTCTTATCTGAACCCCTTGTGCGTAACCTATTCTAACCAAGACGAGCCTAACCTCACCTCACCTAACCTAACCTAACCTAACCAAGACGAGCCTAACCTCACCTCACCTAACCTAACCTAACCTAACCTAACCTAACCAAAAACGAACGAACCTAGACGAACCGTCGATCAACCTATCCTCCTACTGAATGGACTACGTTTCTTACGCAATCGACCCAAGCGTAAAAATTGCGGTGATTTAGGGAAACTAAAAACCACAAGAATACTGACGCTTCAGAGTCTAATCAATCTGGCTCTGAATTTCAGAGATGAATTTCAGAGTCAGTGAATGAACGATTTACTAATGAATTTCAGAGTCAGAAGGTGATGTGAGTCTAATAGCTTTTGCCAGGTTTGGTTAGGCTAAACCGTTGTATATTTAACGTAGTGAAAATCGACAGAATGGTCTCGCTATGAAGGCCGAAGATCATACGTACATATTGAAACGCATTTATATACCTTAAAGCAACGTGAATTAGACGTTGCTGTCAATACCCTCCAAATTAAGATGCATTGTGGGAATGAACTGACTAATAAGAAATCTTTAGAGCAGAGAGCTCTTGTAGCGCAAAACTATCGCAGAGAGCAATCCTAAAGAGAGCTCTCTTAAAGAGCGTGTTCATGAAGACATCGCTCGCACAGAGGGCTCTCCTGAGAGAGAGAGTCACTGTCGAGAGCGCTCCTACAGAGCACTTCTATAGAGCGCTCGGGCACATCGTGCTCCAGATGAGAGCTGCCCCCTGAAGAGAGCTCCCGTTACGTGTGTGCTCATACCCTACAGGAGGAGTGTTCCTGTAGGGCGCTCCTGAAGAGAGCGCTGCTAAAGAGAGCGCTCCTAAAGAGAACGTTCCTAAAGAGAGCGCTCCTAAAGAGAGCGCTCCTGAAGAGAACGCTCCAGAAGAGAGCGCTCCTGAAGAGAGCGTTCCTAAAGAGAGCGCTCCTGAAGAGAGCGCTCCTAAAGAGAGCGTCCTGAAGAGAGCGCTCCTGAAGAGAGCGCTCCTGAAGAGAGCGTTCCTAAAGAGAGCGCTCCTGAAGAGAGCGCTCCTAAAGAGAGCGCTCCTGAAGAGAGCGCTCCTGAAGAGAGCGCTCCTGAAGAGAACGCTCCAGAAGAGAGCGCTCCTGAAGAGAACGCTCCAGAAGAGAGCGCTCCTGAAGAGAGCGTTCCTAAAGAGAGCATTCCTAAAGAGAGCGCTCCTGAAGAGAGCGCTCCTGAAGAGAGCGCTCCTGAAGAGAGCGTAACACTCTAGAAATGTACTCCTTGCAAACACGCCTGATTAAATGTACTCAGGGGAGGAAAAAGTACCTAAAAATAATGTGTGAGTGTGTGTGTGTGTGTGTGTGTGTACTCACCTAGTTGTGCTTGCGGGGGTTGAGCTCTGGCTCTTTGGTCCCGCCTCTCAACTGTCAATCAACTGGTGTACAGATTCCTGAGCCTACTGGGCTCTATCATATCTACATTTGAAACTGTGTATGGAGTCAGCCTCCACCACATTACTGCCTAATGCATTCCAGCCGTTAACTACTCTGACACTGAAAAAGTTCCTTCTAATGTCCCTGTGGCTCATGTGGGTACTCAGTTTCCACCTGTGTCCCCTTGTTCGCGTCCCACCAGTGTTGAATAGTTCATCCTTGTTTACCCGGTCGATTCCCCTGCGGATTTTGTAGGTTATGATCATGTCTCCCCTCACTCTTCTGTCCTCCAGGGTCGTAAGGTGCACTTTCCGCAGCCTTTCCTCGTAACTTTCCTGTGTGTGTGTGTGTGTGTGTGTGTGTGTGTGTGTGTGTGTGTGTGTGTGTGTGTGTGTGTGTGTGTGTGTGTGTGTGTGTGTGTGTACTCACCTTATTACACTCACGTAATTGCGCTGGCAAAGACTGCACTTGGGCCCGTGACCGTTTCTAAGACGAGAGTTCATACCTTGAGATCTATCTTGAGATGATTTCGGGGCTAAGCGTCCCCCCCGGCCCGGTCCTCGACCAGGCCTAAAATAGCCTGGTCGATTCCATGCCCATCTGATTTTCTTGTACACTTTCTTGTAAATATATGGAGTAATTATAATGGAGTGTCCGAGTTGAATAGAACTGATCCAGTTTCACAAGTTGCAGGGTCGGTGAGTCTAGGGTCCATCCACAAGGGCCGTGACGAGGATTCGAACCTACGTCCGAAATCATCCCAAACGCTGCCTTTATCGACTGAGCTACGACATGGTCCCTTGTGGATTTGTTCATTTGATGCATCATGCTATTGTGATTTCTGTGTGTATCTAGGATCCATGTTACAGCGAGTGCTATCAAACCCTTTCCACCTCCCACCTATTCCATTCTCCCTCACTTAACATCACCCCCCCCCCCTTCCCATCCCCCTCACACACAAAATACAGCCGTCATTATACTTACATTTCTGCTACTTACGGTAGGCTGCTTCTGTGACGCCAACCCCTCATTGTTGTTCTGTGGAGATGACAAATACAGACATTAGTGACTTAAATCCCCTCTGTTGCTTATCTGGTTGAGGCAGATAAGGAGACCTAATTTTCTGACTGAGACCTAAAAAAAATCCCCTCTGAGGTGTTAGTAATGTAAACACAAATTTTTAATCAGTTAAATCACCTCTGTTGGCGATTTAATTGTGTATACAAACAAAGAAATCCCCTCTTAGGTGTTAGAAACGTAAACACCAATTTTTAATCAATTAAATCACCTCTGTTGGAGGTGTTGCTACGGGGAAGGTAAATCCAATTTATAATCTATTAAATCCCCCTCTTTTTAAGGTAGTTTGAGAAGGGAAAATACAGGATCTCCCTATAAGTAATGATCAGGGGTAGAGTAATATTTCTTCTTAATCTGGTATGTAGAACAAACATGACAAGAACCCTAAGACAAAATTGGTCTTGATTAGATAAGAAAGCAGCCATAAAGAATAAAGAATAAATCACATTATCGTAGCCAATACATCAAAGACAACACAAACAAGACAATGAAGATACAATAATGATAACAAAAACCAGTCTTAATAACAATAAACAACAATGGCTCACAATTTGCCAGCATAACACATGAAAATAAAAAAATATTTATAAAATATTGAAATAGAAAATGGGGTTCAAGGGCACACTGGTTGAAAGGGGGTACGTTACTAACTTATATTCTCGTCAACACGTGTTAGATGTGCGTTCGTGTTGGGTGCGCGTTCGTTTAAGCATGCGTGTGCTCGAGTGCGCATTCCTGCGTGTCTGGGCAATGGCAAAAGGGGGGGGGGGTGAATGAATGGAAGAAGCTTGTGGATATTAACTAATAACTATTCTAAGACGAAACGAATATTAAACATTTCTTAGACTTACAGTTACGATGACCCCGGAAACTGTCTCATTCAACTGGACGAACGAGAGAGAGAGAGAGAGAGAGAGAGAGAGAGAGAGAGAGAGAGAGAGAGAGAGAGAGAGAGAGAGAGAGAGAGAGAGAGAGAGAGAGAGAGAGAGAGAGAGAGAGAGACGGCAAAGAACAGTTTTTCCAAGAAATACGAGTCAATGACAAGATACACAGCTTCAAAACAACAAGAGAATCCCTAATCAAGGAACTACGGGGCAGTACAGGGTCAATACACGGGAGGGAGTGAGGGAGGGGAGAGTGAGGGAGGGGAGAGGGAGGGAGGGGAGAGGGAGGGAGGAGAGAGTGAGGGAGTGAGGGAGGGGAAGGTGAGGGAGGGGAGGGTGAGGGAGGGAAGCTAGACAGAGAGAGAGAGCGGGGGGGGGGGGGTTGAGAAATGACAACTATTTTCAGATTATCAAACGCCACCATTGAAGGAAGTTGGGGGGAGGGGGTGGGGGAGCCTAGAGAGGACGGGGGGGGTGGGTGGTAAACTGTAGTTTTTCCTGCGTGCTGGTGTATACTCACCTAGTTGTGCTAGCGGGGGTTGAGCCTCGGCTCTTTGGTCCCGCCTCTCAACCGTCAATCAACTGGTGTACAGATTCCTGAGCCTACTGGCGGCATGTGCGTGTGCGTGTGTGTGCGTGTGTGTGTGCGTGTGTGTGTGCGTGTGCGTGTGTGTGAGTGTGTGCGTGTGTGTGAGTGTGTGTGTGTGCGTGCAAAGGGAGGAAATATAAAGTGATGACCATAGTGTACATGTAACACACCCCGCCAGTCTCCCCACCACGAGCACCACTCAGCTTCATCACCCCCAACTTAATTACCATCAAACACAATAACTAATCACAGGCGTCCACCTCTAAACAAAAACCACCTTGATATAAGGGACACCTGATGCAAGGTGCAAGTTGTCTTAGAATGGTCATTAATAAAAGGTAAACGAAATAAGAGAGATTACTAGAGAGGCGACTTGATAACCGTCCAAGATAGACCAAAACATCTTCGCTTCTCCATCTTCTTGCCCAACCACTTGGGACTAGACGGTAGAGCGACGGTCTCGCTTCATGCAGGTCGGCGTTCAATCCCCCGACCGTCCACCAAGTGGTTGGGCACCATTCCTTTCCCTCCCCGTCCCATCCCAAATCCTTATCCTGACCCCTTCCCAGTGCTATATAGTTGTAATGGCTAATATCTACAGCGCACTGTATTACCACAGTACATAGAGAAAGCTGGTTTGGAAATACTCGCTCGGGAGTTCATCTGTTCAGAACCTACACTAACCTATTTACATTTTTGGGTCCTGGAAATGCCCCTTTCTGCTGCTGTAGCTCATGCAGTAAGCAAAGCGACATGCTGTACAGTATGTGGGGAACAGTGGAGTATGTGGGGAACAGTGGAGTATATGGGGACAGTGGAGTATGTGGGGACAGTGGAGTATGTGGGGACAGTGGAGTATGTGGGGACAGTGGAGTATGTGGGGAACAGTGGAATATGTGGGGACAGTGGAGTATGTGGGGAACAGTGGAATATGTGGCGACAGTGGAGTATGTGGGGAACAGTGGAATATGTGGGGACAGTGGAGTATGTGGGGAACAGTGGAATATGTGGGGACAGTGGAGTATGTGGGGAACAGTGGAATATGTGGGAACAGTGGAGTATGAGGGAACAGTGCAGTATGAGGGAACAGTACAGTATGAGGGAACAGTACAGTATGAGGGAACAGTGGAGTATGAAGGAACAGTGCAGTATGAGGGAACAGTACAGTATGAGGGAACAGTACAGTATGAGGGAACAGTACAGTATGAGGGAACAGTGGAGTATGAGGGAACAGTGCAGTATGAGGGAACAGTACAGTATGAGGGAACAGTACAGTATGAGGGAACAGTACAGAATGAGGGAACAGTGGAGTATGAGGGAACAGTGGAGTATGTTGCAACATCAACACATGCAGGTCGACCCGTCCTGAGGGCCAGCAACACCACAACATGCAGCAACGGACGCCCCAACGGACGAAGGACACCCCAACCACACGACAACCCAACCACACCGTTTTCAACGTTGCCACAACGTCGTAGTAACAACGTCGAAAGCAACGTTGTGATTAGGTGGCGGGCGCCGGTGCCCCTCGTAACGAGACACAGACGCCACCAAGACATGAAGGGTGATCATGCGCATACCGGAGGACGCCGCCAGGCAGGACAAGGGTCAGGGGGTCAGGTCATGCGGGCACAGAAGGTGGCGGCGGCGTCGGGGGTCAGCCGGCGCTCCTGACCTCTTTCTCGATGTGTAAGGCGGTGTGCCATATGGTGAAGGCCAGGCGGTGGAGCACCCCGGCGTCCATCCGGGGGTCGGAGCGCGCTCGCCGGCGGCGCTGACGGGCGTTATTGCTGCTCTCGGATCTTACCGAGGATCCTAGCGAGTCCCAGGAGGATCTGCAGGAGGATCCTAGCGAGTTCCACGACGCCGAAGGAGCCACGCGACCGGTTTGCGCCGCTCGAGGGAGTGTCGCTGGCGGGGATTCTGGCGTGGAACTGATCAAGGAAGGAATAGAGGAATAGACCTCCTCGTTATCCTGACGGTGTTGCCGCTGTGGCCACGACGGCGCTGACTGCGTCAGGAGGTTCTCGGGGCTGGGGCTGAGGCTCGTGCTGCTCTCCGCAGGGTACGACAACCTCTGACTAGACGCTGCGGAGACTCGCGGGGCCCTGATGGGGAGGACCGGAGGGACGACTATGGCTCCGGGCGAGACCAGAGGATTGTGAGGGCCAACTGGTCCTGTTGTGAGGCGCGGTGGGGGTAAGGGAGGAGGGGCGTCGTCCACACGCCGGCGGTACCTGAGGGGTGCTGGGAGAGGCGGCACAGGCCGGGAGTATGAGGCTTCACTCACACTCTGATACACTGGATCGTCTGTAGTGGTCAGGCTGGAGTATATCTCATCCTCGCTAGGGCCTCCACTCCGCCCTTCCTCACTAGGGTATTCCAGACTGGAATATATTCCATCGTCGTCCCCAGGAGTCCAGCGGAACTGGAGGGGTGCCGGGGGGTCTCGCCGCCCCGCACGCCGTGGCAGTGACTGGTACTTCCCCTCACTGTCCTTCTCTCTCCTCTTAGGAAGTGACTGATACTTGGGCTCGCCTTTCGAACCCTTCTTCGACGACGATTGAGATTTTGATTCACCATCTCGCTCTCTGAAGGTTCGTTTGGTGGGCGAGTGATACTTATCTCCCTTGATGGTTCTCTTTGGCCCTGCTAAGGCCTTAGCATCCTGCTCCAATTTCCTTTGTTGCAACAACTGGTAGTTACACTTGACGTCTTGAATCATCTGAGGCGTCACGGCCTGGTAGACTGGATCAGCATCCAGGGCGTCCGGAGATGATTGATAGAGAGGTTCAATCGCGCTCATCTTGGGAGGCGACGTCTGGTACAAGGGCTCGGCTTCGTCAGCCTTGAGAGGAGACACGGGAGAAGGCATCGTTGCATAAAGAGGCTCGGCTTCACCTGCTTTCGGAGCGATAGTTTGAAATATCAGCGGGTCAGGCATCTTGATCTTCGGAGGAATGCCTTCATATAAAGGTATAACTCCTGGGACCTTCGCTGGAATGGGCTCAGTGCCTGGTGCTTTGGCAGAGATGAGCTCGTATAGAGGTACGTTACTGGTAACCTTAGAAGCAACTGACTGATACACCTGCTCGCTCTGGTACGCCTTCGGGGGTGGCGCCTGGTCTGTGGCGAGGGGTAGCGGAGGTGCTGCTTGGAAGGCGACATCGCTTGCATGAGTTCTTGGGGGAAGGGATTGTACTTTGGGCTGATTCGGTATTCCCTGGATATCCCCACTCACCGGCGGTACTGGCTGGCTTTCCCCATCTGGCTTCCTCAAGGGTATCGTCGGGTAGACATGCTCGTAGTTGGGCTTTATCGTCGGAATGGGCTTAAACTCGTAATCGAACATATGAGACAGAGGCTGGAACACGGGCTCTGATTCCAACTTAATGGGAATGGGATGGAACTCGTAATCAGCCACCCTAGATGGTAGTACCTGGTACTTTCCCTCTCCATCTGCTCTTCTAGGAGGTAGTGGTTGGTACTTGGCATCCTCTGGCCGTCTCGGGGGCAAGGGTTGGTATTTAGGTTCGATCTCAAGTCGTCTAGGTGGTAAGGGCTGGTACTTCGCCTCTCCTTCTGGTCGTCTTGGAGGTAGTGGCTGGTATTTGGGCTCAATATCGGGCCTCCTTGGCGGAAGGCCTTGGTACTTTACATCACTGTCTTGTGGGAATGGTTGGTACTTAGACTCTTCGTTGGGATGTCTTGGCGGTAGCTGTTGGTATTTGGGTTCGCCGTTGGCGTGTCTAGGGGGCAGCTGCTGGTACTTGGGCTCGCCGTTGGGGTGTCTTGGGGGCAGCTGTTGGTATTTGGGTTCGCCGTTGGCGTGTCTAGGGGGCAGCTGCTGGTATTTGGGCTCGCCGTTGGGGTGTCTTGGAGGCAGCTGTTGGTATTTGGGCTCGCCGTTGGGGTGTCTAGGGGGCAGCTGTTGGTATTTGGGTTCCCCGTTGGGGTGCCTTGGTGGCAACTGCTGGTACTTGGGTTCGATGTCGGGCCTTGGTTGCATTGGTTGAAACCCTGGTTCTATATCAGGTCTGGGGAGAAGTGGTTGGTATCTGGGCTCAATATCGGGCCTTGGGGGCAACGGCTGATATTTGGGTTCCACATCGGGTCTGGGTGGTAGAGACTGATATCTGGGTTCGATATCGGGCCTTGGTGGCAATGGTTGATATCTTGGGTCAACTTCTAGGCGTCGTGGTGGCAGCTGTGTGTATTTGGGCTCAATATCGGGTCTTGGAGGCAAGGGCTGGTATTTGGGCTCAATATCGGGTCTAGTTGGTGGTTGCTGGTAGCGGGGCTCAATATCAGGTCTTCTGGGTGGGAGTTGTTGATATTTGGGCTCAATATCGGGTCTCCTTGGAGGAAGTTGCTGATATTTGGGCTCAATATCGGGTCTCCTAGGAGGAAGTTGCTGATATTTGGGCTCGATATCAGGTCTCCTAGGAGGAAGCTGCTGGTATTTGGGCTCAATATCAGGTCTCCTAGGAGGAAGTTGCTGATATTTGGGCTCGATATCAGGTCTCCTAGGAGGAAGTTGCTGATATTTGGGCTCGATATCGGGTCTCCTAGGAGGAAGTTGCTGGTATTTCGGATCGATATCAAGTCGTCTTGGTGGGAATTGTTGATGCCTGGGTTCGATATCTGGCCTCGGAGGGGGAATATAATGATACCTGTGGTCAATATCGTGTCTTTTAGGCGGTATGGTTTGGTATCTGGGCCCGATGTCGTATCTTTTAGGTGGAGGTAATGGCTGATATTTCAAGTCGATACCAAACCTCTTGGGCGGCACCGTGGGATATCTCTGATCCATGTCCCGTCTCTTTGGTGGTATTGTTTGGTACTTCGGCTCCATCTCGTACTTGGGAGGTGGCAGAGGGTAGTACCGAAGGTCGATCTCCTGTCTCTCGGGAGGCAGTGCTTGGTATTTGGGATCGATGTCGTAGATCTTCGGAGGCACGCTCTGGTATCTCGAGTCCGGATCGTGCCTCTTCTGAGGGACAGTTTGGTACTTGAGGTCCACCTCTGGCTTCTTCGGAGGCAGCGTATCGTATTTGGGATCCATGTCGTACTTTTTGGGTAGCAGAGGTTGGTACTTGGGGTCGGCGCCGCTCCTCTTGGGGGAGAGAGACTGGTGAGCTCCGGGCTCTGTTTCCCGCCTCTTGGGGGAGCCCGGAAGGTGGCTTGGCCCGATATCTCGCCTCTTGGGGGAAGAGGAAAGTGCTCCTGGTCCGACATCGCGTCTCTTGGGCGACGACGACTGGTGGCCAGCCTCTGTGCTCCGTCTCTTGGGCGACGAGGGATGATGCCCGCATGACGACTCTCCGTCACGCCGCTTTGGCAACGTTTGATACCTGGGCTCTGTGCTGTGCCGCTTCGGCAGCGACTGGTACTTCGGGTCTCCCTCGCTTTTTCTGCTCACGGCCTGGTACCTGGCCTCCCCCTCGTGCCTCCTGGGCAGTGACCGGAACTTCGGTTCGGTGTCCTGTCGTTTCGCGGAACTTTGGCTCTTCGAATCCCCATCCTTAGGGGCCCTTTTAGCCGTCTGGTCCTTGGAGGAGCGGCGTGGCAGTGACTGGTAGTCTTGCTCCCTCCGGCGGGATTTAAGCTCCCCGTCTCTGCCACTCCGTTTACTTGACTTCAGCTTAAGATCCCCGCTGGAGGTAACCTGCGGCGTCGCCTCCTTCGAGCTACCTTTACTCCGGGACAAGGAGCCGAGTGTTATGGGCGGGGCGGATGCTGCCTCTCCCGTGTTGCCATCGCTCAGGTTCCGTCTGTGGGCCTTTGGGAGCGCCGGGGAGTTGATCCCTAACTGCTCGGCCGCCGTAGGGCCCGAGGCTCCCGCTGGAGACGTTCTGGCCAACAGGTGGAAGCCGACGCCGAGGGCGCGACTCAAGTGGCCCGGACGGTTGTGTCTTGGAAGGGAGTAGAAGCCAGACACGGGTCTACTGGCGGCTGGTGGCGGCTGGTAGACCGGCAACGACGCGTGCGCCGATGTAGGGGGCGCTGTCAATCCCCCGGCCACACACGTGGTTGCCCATGTGGTGGGCGCCCCGGATGTAGGCACCGTTTGTGCCGTGGTAGCTGGCACACCCGCAGACGTTCCATTTGCTGCGGTGGTGGAGGGTGGCGCTCCAGCCTTGGCGTTCCTCCCGTTGTTGTTATTGTTGTTGTTGCTGTTAGCGGCATTGTTGTTAAAAATGCTCAGAGTGGCGCTGGGGAAGCCGGCGAAGCTATTTTGTCGCCGGAACACCCTCGGCGGGGCCCGACGGGGCGCCTGAGTGGGCGGCTGGCTCATCACGCCCTTGGGAGGCTAGGCCTACACCCACGCCCTTGGGAGGCTAGGCCTACACCCACGCGCTCAAAAGCAACTTTAACAATTATCCTTCAACCGGCCTTACAGCCTACTGTTTAACAATGACCAGAAATCCTAACTACCTTTAAAGAAAGCGAGCCACTCACAAAGAGGACGCCCAAACCCGCGCCCTCTCCTATATTTCGTCAATTAATCAACTACCTTTGAACTAATGGGAAAGTAACGATTTGCAAGTGACCTGTTATGTCATTATAGCACCATCACCTGTCTCACAGACTGGCGACCAGCGCCTCCCAGTGGGGGTACAGCTTCCCAGTGGGGGTACAGCTTCCCAATGGGGGTACAGCCTCTCCCAGTTGGGGTACAGCCTCTCCCAGTGGGAGTACAGCTTCCCAGTGGGGGTACAGCCTCTCCCAGTGGGGGTACAGCCTCCCAGTGGGAGTACAGCTTCCCAGTGGGGGTACAGCCTCCCAGTGGGGGTACAGCCTCCCAGTGGGGGTACAGCTTCCCAGTGGGGGTACAGCCTCTGGGACGTACACCACTCTACACCCAAAACGAAAATAGGTATAACTTAGATACTACTGAAACTTAGGACTTGCTGATCAGGAGGAGCTTTGAGCCAGCCACACGAATCTAGTCGAGGCGAGAGAGCGAAAAACCTCGAACCCCGAGAGCCCTTGAACACAGAGCGCCCTTAATGACTTAGAACAACTGAGCCAAAGAGGGTGAGCACCAGGAGACCACAACCTTGGCCTAAGCTTGGCTGTATTGTGTGTAAAGTGATAGTAAGGAGCCGCGCCTTGAAAGTTAAGTATTGGGTCACCTTACATACGTTATGAACACACTTGATGAGCGAGTATGGGGGGGGGGGATACAGGACACACCCCCTCCGTAATTACAAAATGGAAACCACTGAAACACTTACTGAATGCAGTTACAATGTTTTACAAACCACATTTACTTGTAAAGTACAAAACGACCACAGCTACTTAAACAAACACTTAACC